CGTGGCAAGTACCTGTGCTTACAATAAAGAAGAAAAGTCCTACTGAAATCTGATTCGTCTATTTAACTGACCAAGCAAAACATCATATTCAATTTCTCCATGAAGGGTAATACGAGGACCCATACATATACCTATCATTCGATAGAGCGCCCCAAATAACCCTAGAATCGGCCCGAACATGGCTAGTGCTTGTCCTTATAATAAATAAGAAAAGCTCTTCTGAAATCTAATTGGTCAAAAATGATCCAATTGAATTCTACACAATGTTACTAATCATTCAGAGTTTCGTTTCGTGTCATGGACACATGTGTATACCAGTAAATTAATGGTTTCTTTCTAAGATCATAGACAATGGCGCGACGCAAACACTTTCAAAAGCTATCCCTTGTTCCAACTTGGTATTCTAGTCCATCACTTCTGAGCAAGGCGGAGACCAACACATATACCCATCATTCGATAGGACATTCACACGAACTCTAGAATCGACCCGAACATGACTACTACTTCATCTTACAATAAGGAAGAAAAGCCCTTTTGGGTGTGGGTGTGGGTTAAGAAAAGAAAAATACTCACCCACACCCACACCCAAGATTGGTACCTGGTTGGTGTGCTATGGTTGCGTATACGTCTATATACCACACAGCGAAGTACGATCATAATACGGTCCATGGAAATACGGCCTTGATATGACTGTTTTTGGTACTCGTAAAGGTCGATCTGAGTATCTATGAAGACTGCCACTACGGAAAACACCTATATTATTGTGGACCACCATTGAGTAGATGAGCAAAATTTATAGAAACCAGCACTAGGAGAACTATCTATATTACGAAGGACCAGTATTGAGGAGATGATCGTTTTCTATAACGACCACCCGCAATTTGGGTATCGATAATTCTAACGACGAGTTTTTGCAAGATCGAGGATAGTTATGGGAAGAAAGATCAATTAGATCGCGCATGGTGTGGCTAATGGTACATGTAGTTTGGTACGTTAGGATAGTATATTTATTAATGGGCTTTTATGTTTAGGTTGATGATGGCTGCTTATTTGAAAGTAAGTTTTATTTATGTGTTTGGAAGTTTTGTTTTTTTGTTGTAGATTGATTGCAATTTCTGATTTAGCGGCAAGTTTATTTGGTTAATGTTTGATTTTCTCTTCCGCACGGATTGGTTTTCAATCGATACTTAAATGTAAGTTTACTGCTTTAAGTATATCGTCTTATTTCTGTCGCAGATCGATACTATTTTCCCATTTAGGAGTTAGTTTATTTCTTTCTATAAATTAATCTTTTTGTATTTCAGATTTGAATGAGTTCTTGATTGTGATGCTGCTTTATTGGCCTTAATTACTGATTATTTGTTTGCTGTGGATGGGTTCGCAACAATGATGTGAGAGTAAGTTTATTGATTTTATTTGCTACTTTTTTTTTGAGGAGGGCCGATTGAGACATTTGAGGTAAATAATAAATGCCATTTTGTACCTAAGGAGGTAGCCCTTGGAAACGATAATTCACTTTTGACTTGAGCCTCTGTTCCTAAGGCCGTTGTCAGTGAGATAAGAAAAATCCCTGAAGGATGCAATTCACTAGCTCTTCTCTCGAAGATTATCCTTATGTTACTAGAATTTTAGTTGAATGCTAATGAGGAACCCTATTTAGATGTGAATTTGATTTTGAGTTCGAGCCATCAGTGTCAGATAGATGTGAGGGAAGTATGAAAAAATCCAAATGAACGAGGGTTGATAAGTCTTCTCTCGAAAGTTATAACCGTATTCTTTGAATTCTAATCTGTAGTGTCGTAGATATCAGTTAGTGGAATGAGACTATTTCTATTTAAGGATTTTTGGACGGAGCAGTCTATGTATAAATCCAATGTTCCAAAGATTTTTCCTTGAAAACAATGAGTCTTTTCTAGAGATGCTCAAGTTCAACAATACAACTCGTATCTCACGAAAGATGATGAAAATGTTCTATTTTTCGTGGACTTTAGCATCTCTGGAAAAAGCGCATTGTTTTCAAAAGTTTTGGGACATCAATATCATAAATAGACTGCTCCGTCCATAAATTCTTAAATAGAAATGGTCTCATTCCAATAACTGACATCTGCGGCACTATAGATTAGAATTCAAAGAAAATGGCTATAAATTTCGAGAGAAGACTTATCAACCCTCGTTCATTTGGATTTTTTCATACTTCCCTCACATCTATCTGACACTGATGGCTCGAACTCAAAATCAAATTCACATCTAACTAGGGTTCCTCATTAGCATTCAACTAAAATTCTAGTAACATAAGGATAATCTTCGAGAGAAGAGCTAATGAATCGCATCCTTCAGGGATTTTTCTTATCTCACTGACAACGACCTTAGAAAGAGAGGTTCAACTCAAAAGTGAATTATCATTTCCAGGAGCAACCTCATTAGATGTAAATACCTTGGAAGTTTCGTACGAAATAATTTGTGCGAAACCTTTTGGACATCATTTTTGGAGGGGTTTCGTACGGAATCTCTCGTACAAAGCCTTTTTGGGGTTTTTCCTGTAAAGGTTTCGTGCTGAACATTTTGTGCGAAACCTTTTAGACTTTTCCGATAAAGGTTTCGTGCTGAACCCTGTGTACGAAACCATTTTCTCCAGTCAGAAAGAAGAAGTTTCGTACGAAACCTCCTTTTTACGAAACCAAAAAAGGATCTTCTCGTGTACCTAGGGGAAGATCCTTTTTTGGTTCCGTAAAATACCTGTTTTTTTACAGTGTAGGATGTTGCATGATTTCGCAAATGATAAACAGTGTGTGTATCAAGTCTCTATCACCACTGTTTAGACGAAAACGAGACGCTTCGTTGCATAGTAGTCACTCTCCAAATGAGCTGTAGGGTCAAGATATCACAAAGACTTGTGATATACAAGGGCGCATATCAGTGTATATACCATCAAACTAAAGAATGATTCCAAAAACTGGTCTAATATGGAAACCAAAAGCCGATTTTATATGATGAAAACATGCAAAAAATAGTGGACTTTCGTCTACTGAATATCATTTTAAAATGAAATCTGAATGCTAGATTTGACCATTACCTCTCACAGAGGATTCTTTATAACTTGCAAAGTTTTTAAAGTCAGATACATCGACCTCATTTTGTTTGAACTTGGTGTGATTTCTTGTCTTTCTTGTTAAAGATAAGTCCACAAAGGATCTTTGTAATGAGACCAGTTCTCAAGCGACATTTTCTCATGCATTCTGCTATCGATCAACTGCATTCTTCTGTAATGTCTTTTATCCAACTAGAGCTCTAAATCGCTTCTAAGGAATGATAGTGAGTTTCGACTCTCGAACAGGCGTTTTTGGTTGAAAACTATTGGTTTTTATCATAAATTATTAACCATACTAATCAAGTGACTAGTTGCTCTGATTTTCTTCCTCTTCCCTTCGTATGATTTTTAAGGTAATAATTCTCAGGCATGCTCGATCCTCTACAATGAAAAAAAAATGGTACGATACCGAACCAAAAATATTATTGTGAACGAAAAAAGGTTTCGTACAAAACTTCGAGCGACTAAAATTGATTGTTATTGACTCATGACACTTTTTCAAGTTTGTCGTAGTGGTCTGTACCGAACCTAAAATGGTTAAGAGAACTGAAATGAATTCGAAACCTTTTTTTCGTTCACGATACTATTTTTGGTTCGTTATCGTACCAATTTTTTTTTCAGTGTATGACCGTGTGATTATTGAACAGCCTCAGTTCTCTAAATACCAAATAGTCTTCACTTGGGGCTGCTTGTATTATGCAGGTTGTTAACACCAATAGCATAATGGATATTGAGCAAGCCATTTGCATCGTCTTTTGCATTGTCGTTTGTTGCTGTTTGACGCTGATGAGAGAATAGTAGATAAATATGAGCAAGTATATAAATGGTATGCTCTTGCAGTAATGCTACGGCTTTATAATTTGAATATTGAAAGTGAATGAGATGAATATCGACGCACGCGCGCTTTTATATCTAACTGGCAATGAGTAGAAATTCCCCACATATCGATGGGGATTCCCCACCTATTGATAGGAATGCGCATATTTATCGGTCCAAATTCTGCGCTTTTTGGTAGGAATTCCCCACCTATCTATGGAAGTTCCCCACTATCGATGGGAATTTTCGACCTTTTGGTGGGAATTTTTGACCTACAGATGGGAATTTTTGACCTACAGATGGGAATTTTTGACCTACGAATGGGAATTTTTGACCTACAGATGGGAATTTTCGACCTACCTATGGGAATTTCCGACCAATCTATTATGTTCTCCTTTTGTTAGAATAAATTTAAGGGCAAATGTGAGGTCGTTTGAGGACAAAAATAACTTTTTTTTCAAAAAAGATGATCTGACTAGTCAAGTGTATATCACATATATATATATAAGCATCACCAGGTATAACAAGAAAAAAAGAATGACAATATAGATGTCGGATATAACACCCTACTCGGACAAGGAAAAAAAGTTTTTGTTTGCAAAACACTTTTTTTTAAAACATAATAACATAACTGTAAATGCATCAAATGAAAGAGAAAAAAAAACAGTAGGAACAAATGTTCATATAATATCATGCAGGAAATATAAAACAAAAAAAAATACACTATAGAGAAAAAATCTGACAATAATAAAAAAAATACAACAATAGAAAGAGAAAAAAATATATGTTTACCATTGTTGTTGACTCTTGTATATCATTTGATCTTCTTGATAAATATTGAACTTGACGACAAAACAAGCAATAATGACGTCGATCAAATATATCACCGAGTAATCTTCGTTCGTTTTGTTGTTCAATTATTTTGTCTTTTACATCAATAAGTAATAAATCATCAACTGGTTTGACATGAGTATAATAAATATTGTATTCAGCAAGAATATGTCGAACTAGTTTCATTGTAAATCTGTAGTAGAATGAACGAATGATAAAATATCTATAACGTTTGCATTGGGAAATAAACATTTCTTTTTCGATTTCATCGTTTTCGAGCTTCAGCTGATCGTGTTCGACTATGTAATTGACGTTTCTTGGTTAAAGATTGTTGTTGTTGTTGTTCATAATCACTGACATCATCAACCATATCATGGTTGATGACACGTAAATCATTATCATTTGGTGGTAATGCAGGATTTGGTTCATTATCATCATCTGATATTACTTCATATAATGATTCATTATGATTTAGTGATAATGCTTTATTTAATTCATTATCATCATTTGAAATTTCTTCATATAACATATCATTATTAATAGTAATTTTAATACATTGATTAACTGTTATTTTATCATCATCGGAGATTAATTCAATATCATCATTAATATTTTTAATTATTCGTTGATTAATATTTGTATTTGCTGAGTTGTTATTTGCTCGTGATGATGATGATGGTAATGCCTGAAATAAATCAAGAATATGAATTTTTGTTACCTGTTGAAATGTTCAACAGAATATAACAGATCGAATTAAACATGTTGTTGCAAAACAATCATATATTGCGTAATGTATCATTTTATTTCTTTTTGATGTTGATAAAGTTGAGTACATCGGATCTAATTCAGTTGTCCAATGATTAACAGTAATTGACTTGTCAATAAACATTCCATATGTATAAAGTAAAGCTTGTTGTAATACCCATGGTTCATTAGGACGATAAAGACTTGATTTATGACAAGTACATTTTGATAATAAATTCATTTGTTCATCAGAATTAATATCATTAATAATAATATTACGATGATTTGACAGGGTACACATCTTGTCATGAGATAGTGCCCAACTATACCAATCAGCGAATTTAAGTTGAAGATTGACCACTGATGTTTTAATGTGCCATTCAAACCATTGATAAACAATAGCTGGATAAATTTCCTTATGTAATGGTTTCCAAGAATATATGTTATCTCTAAATTTAAAAATTAATTCAAATAATTGTTTAATTCGTAAATGAATTAATGAATTAATGGGTGGTAAATGTGCACATTCTACTAATATAACAAAAAATGGTAATTGTTGAGGTATTGTTTGAATTTGAATTAATGCTAATTGTTTGGTTGATTTTTCACCTTCACTATCAAATGTAAATTCATTACAATTTCGTACATGATCAATTAATTTTTGCATTGTTTCAGTTGTTGTATATTTGTTTGCATATATAATTTCATAAAGTGATGTTGGTATATCAAATGCTGGATATTATTGTTGATATTGATAATTTTTCTTCACCTTTTTTTGCAGCACTTATCCAATTCGCTTTTTGTTGATCATCAAGATGACCTGGAGGATCGTTAATATCACGTAAATGATATGGAATAAATTTGTCTGACATTGTAATGACTAAATAAGACAAAATTAAACAAGTTAATATAAATTAATTAAATAAAAACAGTAACATAAGTAACATAAACAAATAAATCATATAATTTATCATTCGTTCTGAAGAATAAACCTATCAAAAATTGCATATAAATAGATATCGTTAATATATGAAGATAAATATTAATAAAATACATAAGGTTAAAAGGAAATAACAGCGTTTGCTATAAACAGAAACACTTCTAAAATGGAAGGTAGCCTGTGTATAATTTGTTGGTATTTGTAATAATCAATATTTGTTAATGTTACCATATACAAATGACAATATATTGATAATTAATGGGCGCTAATTAAAATATTAATATTTCCACATGCGTAACAAATCGATGTTAGTTCAACTTAGTTGTTGCGCATACAACAAAGATGATCAAACATTGAATTACCATCAACATAACATAACATTAACACTTAATGATCATTAGCAAATAACTAAACAATAATATATCATGTTGATTTTAAAATAAGAATAGATCGAATATCATTAACATGTACTCTGGATTCGACCTGTGTTTTTTCATCTTTGACCCAATCAATTGGATGTTGTTTCCTAAGAATTATTTTTGGTGTAATCGAATATTTTGGTTCTAATTTTTTCTTTATTCCATGAATTTTAATCAGTGCTGGACCATTGATTTCATAATGTGGATCTGGACATTGTTTATCATAATTAATCTTGTATTGTCGTTGTCGACGAATAATATTATCACGTGCGTGTTGTTGTATTATCAACAGATTTTTTTTCAATTGTACATAATAATCATTTGGTTTATTGAAAGTAAATGATGATGAAGGTTCATCAGTAGGTAAACATGATTCTCGACCAAACTGTAATTGAAATGGTGAATAATTAGTCGTTGCATGGATGCTGGTGTTATAAGCAAATACCACTGGTGATAAGAATTCATCCCAATTGTTATTTTCTAGATCTTGAAGTTTGACAATTTGAGGAACGAATGTCGCATTAAAACGTTCAATCATTTCATTACTTTGTGGGTGATAAACACTTGAAAAAATATGATTGTAACCAATTAATTTTGCTATGGATTCCATAAGTTGATTTTTAAAATGAGTACCTTGATCAGATAATATAGCTAATGGTACACCATATGGACAAATGTAATTATTAAATAATCTTTGAGCCGTGGTTTGTGCTGAACAATCAGATAAAGCTATTGCAGTCATTCATCTTGTAAAATAATCAGGAATACATAATACATATTGATTACCACGAGGTGTTGGTTGGAACGGACCACAATAATCAATATCTATTAATTGAAATAGCTCCTCTGGAGTTGGAATTGGATTAAGTCGACCTGGTTTCTTTGTACGACTAATATTATGTTGTTGACAAGGTAAACAAGATTGAATATGTTGAATAATTGATTGTTTCATATTTGGCCACCAGAATTTATTTTTTAATTTTTTAAATATGTTCGTTGAATGCCAAAATGACCACTAAGCGAATCATTATGGTATAAGTGCAGGAGGGAATTGACCATGACTGAAGGTAAATAAATTACTTTCTTCTTCTTATTACTAGCAACATTCATTAATACCAATTTATATAATAAACCGTTTGTAACTACATAAGGATGTTTTGTTGGATCTTGCATAACTTCTTTAATCTTCTTCTGAATATTTGAATCTTTTGACTGTTCAAGTTTAATTTGAGTTATATCAAAATTGTTAGACGTAATTAAGAGTGATGGAGATTTATTTGAATGTTCAATTTTGTCTTTACTTGACGACGATGATATATCATTTACAGTGTGTGGTGTAATTTTGTCATTTTCATTTTGTTGTTGTTGTATTTGTTTCATTTTTGAACGCGTAACAACAGCACCAATAACTGGAGGATGATTGACAGGAGCATGCACCGTCTCCGGTGGTTCCCCCTGAAGTAACATGCTTATGCTATAATCCTCATCAAATATTTCTTCATCATTTTGTATTGGATGATGAGATAAATAATCAGCTAAACAATTATGTTGATCTTTAATATGAATAATTTTTTCGATAGTATATTCTTGCACTAAAATATAAATTCGATCCACTCATCGATTTTTCACCGATGAGTTCATCATTTTGCATAAAGGACAATGATCAGTATAAATTATAATAGATCTACCAGGTAGATAAGATCGCATTCGTTGAAAGCATAACCATATGGTTAATGCTTCTAATTCGATAGGATCATATCGTCGTTGAGTAGAAGATGTAACTTGAGAATGATAATATAAATTTTTTATTTCACCATTAATATTTTGTTGTAATATATCACCAATACCAATTTCTGATGCATCCGTTGTTAATATAACAAGATAATTATCATCTGGAAAATCAAAAAATAATGGAGAAGTAATTAATAACTGTTTCAATTGTAAAAACTCTTGAAATTGAGAAGCACCCAATTCGAGTTTGTGTTTATTTGTTTTTGTTAAGTTTTTTACAACATGAATAGATGTAGCAATTGTTGCAAATTTGGATATAAATTTACGATACCACGAAAGAGCACTGAGAAATTTATTTGCTTCAGGTAGTTTAGTAGGTTGTCGTAATTTAATAATTGCTTGAATTTTTTCATTGGTTGGCTTAACACCATGTTCAGATATTGCATGAGATAAATAATCGACTTGTTGATGAAAAATACTATATTTGACCAAGTTAAGTTGAAAATTATGCTTGGATTAAGCAGATAATACTTGTGTAAGATGATTGAGATGTTCTTCAAATGAACGAGAATACACCACGATGTCATCAATATAAACCAACGAGAATTGCCGACAAGTAGATAATATATCAGTCATTACTCGTTGAAAAGATGGTGGGCTATTCTTGAGACCTTGAGCCAGCACATTCCATTCGAAAAGACCATATGGAGTAATAAATGCAGTTTTAAATTTGTCTTCTTCTTTAATTAGAATTTGACAAAATCCACTCTTCATATCAAGTTTGGAAAAAAATTTATAACCACCACCTAATAATTGTATTGCTTGCTCCATATTGGGTAATGGATGATTATCCTTAATAGTAATATTATTTAATTTTTTATAATCTACTACCATTCTCCATGTACCATCATGTTTAGCTACCAGCATTGCTGGTGCTGCACATGGAGAATCAGATGGACGAATTAATCCAAAATGTAATAATTCTTGTATCATCTTATACATTTCTTCTTGTTTACTTGGAGTACACTCTAAAAAAAAGGTATCCGGGAAAACCCTTAAAGGGTTTCTGATTTTGTTACTATCGGAAACTCTTGAAGAGTTTCGAGAATGGGTTTCCGATGGTTCGGAAACCTATCATAAGTCTTGCAAAACCTATCAGAAACCAACTATAATGAAATACTATATACTACTTCCGGAAACCTATTAAAGGTTTTCGAGGTTCCTAAAACTAGAGAACGAAAACTCACAGTAGGTTTGGGTGGGTGGGTGTGGGTGTGGATTTTCTATTCTACAACACCCACATCCCACACTCTCCTTCAAATATATACTGATCGAGTTGATTTGTATTTATATATATGTCATAATGTAATGGAACAACGGTTAATGATAAACGATCAATTAAATTCGGCAATGATGAAATTGTTTTTCCAGATATTGGCTCATTTGGATCAACTAAAAAGAATATTTCAATGTTGAGTACAATACAAATAAATCAAAAATTATTAAGAGAGGCTCCATCAGATCATTGAGGACCATGTCAAATATCGGACCACTCGTTAAAATTAAAATATTTGATTTGATGTTCTTATTTTGTTCAACATCATCTAAACTTCTAAATCCAAATTTTTAGCGCCTCTGGTTAAACTGATGAAAAGTTAGCCGAAATTTATTGTTGAGTACTCACGAAGATATATGGAGAATATGATCACCGATCATCTCTACAAAGTTGACTTTTTTTTTACAATGACAAAAATTTAACGAAATGTTTTCGGTAATTTGCCAAAAGATAGAGAATAAAACATTGAACACAATGAGCTATTTACGTATTATATTTCAATGTATTAATTCAGAGTTATTTATCAAATACTGGTTCATGACTGCTCATTTTTGTAGTTAAGATGTGGCAATCCTTTACAGTATATCAATTGTCATTGAGTCATTTTATAAGATCTCAGACTGAATTTAAGATATGTTGTGCAGTTATTTCTCCTCTGCAATATAATATAAAAAGTTTGAAAAAGTTCTCCATCGAGGCAAAAAATAGCTTACAATGTTCATCAAGTAGATAGTGTTTACAAAAAAAAGGGAGAGGTGGATTAGACCAAAAATTAATTCACTATGTGTTTTTTTAAACTGGTGTTTAAAAAAGTAGGGTGTGGGTGTTCGTATTATTCTCTTTCTAATACTTACACCCACACCCACATCCACACCCACACCCACACCCACACCCACACCCACAT